ATTAACAGATTAACTTCCTGCATAAATAACTATGAGTCATCAAAACAAACACAATCATTGTGGGGTAACCTTTATCTCAGTTTCAATGCAATTCACTGCCAGTTGGATTTACACATTCTTTAGCAGTAGAATTAAAATTCTGAGTACCTATGCAAGCCTTTTTTCGGCACTTATTCCCATATACAATTATACATATTGTGTGTGTGTGTTCATTGCTTAATGCAGGGTTTCCCAATTTTTTTTTGCCAAGGAACCCTAATTGATTATACTTTTCCTAGCGGAACCCCCGTACTACTCCTCCCGCACGCCCTGCCCCTCCCTTGTGCGTAAACAAGTCGGTGCGAGCGAACAACATCGGTCACGAAACGTGGGATAATATTTTTTACGGAACCCTTGCGGCCTTTCCATGGAACCCCAGGGTTCCGTGGACCACCTTTCGGGAACCGCTGGGCATTGCATAATTAAATTAAACGGTAGTTACTTATCTACTATCATAACACAAGCTAGAGTCTAAGTATGTACAGTGGGCCACAGTTCCAGCTACAAATTTCTGTTTTTTCTCTCTCCCTATCATCAAATAGTGAATCTTTGGAACAGAATAAGACAACATGACCAGAAATGGGTGGCTGAAACGGTAGATTATAGTACTAAGCACTATTAACAAATGAAGGGAATACTCACTTTTTTAGGAGGCAGCGTTTTCCTGAGCAACTTCTTTGCATCATCGAGCAGCAGTCCGGTAGATTTCACTTCGTTGTCCGTCTCACACACTACACTATCATCAATATCCTCACAAGGTATTTCCTCACACACTGTCCTCACCGCACAATCCACCTCATCGACTGGCTTGTCATCGTACAAACTGTCATCCGTCAAGTCACCAAACGTCCTAGACAAAGTGTGCGCTAGTTTGGTCACGGGAATGCAGCCGGAATCACTGGCATCGGTGTCAGAGTCTGAATATTCAGCGTCTGATTCGGACTCCTCTCCGAAGACATCGTTGGATGTGTAGCAACTGTCCGGGCTCTCTTCAAAGACGATGAACGAGTCTTCTGACTCACAGTCCGATGGCACCCTCGGTCGGTTCTTAGGGCTGTCTGTGAACACAATTTGAAAGGAGTCCTCGCTCTCCGTCGCAGACGACGAGTGGAACCTCCCTGAGATTTCGTCGAAATAGTCTTTCTCATCTCTCTGACTATTCACCGATGGCGTAGAGAGTCGGTCGAGCGATCGTACAGCTGGAGAGTTTTCGACACTCGATAGTTCATCTCCATTGATTTCGTTGGCAAACGTCAAGTTGTCCTGGATGTTTGGACTCTGTTTTTCAACAGAACCAAGCTCGGTGACAGGTTTTTGCGGTGGCGGGCTCACGGAGGCTTTTCTCGGTCGTCTCGCGCAGTTCGGTGCTTCCACCGGCTTTGATTTGAGCAGTAACCGTAATCTGTTGAGTTTATCCTCGCATTTCGCGACTGCGTCGTGGACGTCGGCGCTCATGTCTGTTACCAAATCAGTGTCGGAGTTGCTGATCGGATCGTGAGCCCGAAGATTTTTATTTTGATCCTCACAGTTGGCGGGCTGCCAGCCCACTGGCGACCCCTGACGGCTGACATTGGATTCGTCGTAACAATCGTAGTACCGAGGCGGCGTTGACCGTCTTAAGAACATCGCGCTCGATATTACATTCATCACTCCAGAAAAAAAGCTTGTGATACCTGAAAATGCGGGCAAAGGAGATGCCCTGGGTGACGCCTCCTCAGATTTAGGCATTATAGTCTCTACGCATTCCACGTTAAGCATAGTTTTCCTTTGTTTTGGTTTCTCCTCAGTTGTTATTATGGAGTCCGCCAAATTCTTCTTCAACGGATCGGGCAGTAAGTGGAGATTGTTCAACAACTCGTCCCCGAAAGAGTGCTTCATTTCCTTCTTAGTGTCTGTACAGTAATTTGAAATAGAATAATGAGGTGGGTCGAACATCGTGTGTCTCTTACGCCAATCGTTTCCCAAGGAATACATTATAGATTTTTGTTGCACTATATTCACTACACTAATAAAGTCTAGAGGATGCTAAGCCATTTCCGCTCACGCTGACATTCTACCACAAATAAAGTTATCAGGAAAAGGCTTGTGAGCCAGTCCACGCCACTTTCTTGAAGAATTCAAGGGAAAATTTTGGGAAAACCAGTGAGTCGACTTTTCAAACACTGTTCCCGTCGCACTTCCTATTGTGTCACAACAAACTCCGATAAACACGGTTGTGGGACCACTAGTAGATTTGTTTTCGTCGAAATTGCGCACGTTATTGAGCTCCATTGTAGCGAAAAATGCAGAAATAACACGTCTTTACAGTTCAGCCATTTTGTAGAATTTAACAGATAAAAAATATTGTGACCGTCGCTGTCAAAGGGCAAAAGACTAGTGATGTTTGTAACCGATGGTTTGATCGATTTAAAAATTTATTGAACATTCAATTGACATAGCAATAATTTATTTGTGATCCACGAATAAGACGTTCGATATTAAAATACATTACTAAATTGGGAAAGCTGACGCCGGGTAACAGAATAAGACGAGACAAGCATAAGAAGAAAATATTGATTAATTTTTGTCTGTATTTATCTAACCAAATCTAGTTATTACATTTTTGACTGTTGTTTATTTGTCCAACAAAATCAAGACTTGTTTATTCAGAAATTTCAAATTTCAAATCGAAACCTACGCTCTGTATACAGAAATAAACTAGTAAGGCCTCAGACAAAATTAACACTAGCATCAAGGAATGCTTTTATTATGTGGGTATTTCGCCGAAACAGTAAATTTTCTGTGTCCAGGCAGGCGAACACATGTTTTTTTATATCTATCTGTATAAAACTATTTTTATGGGAAAGTTCATCAAAAGTTTTATTTGTTTTTGCTATTACAATAGCAGAAACTACAAATAATACCGTAGAAAAACTTAATCAAAAGTCGTTTTTCTAATTTCCTTGTTATGTCCATTACTGTTGTTTGCCAAAATGAAGGCTCATTATAACAAATTGAAGCGTAATTTAATTCTAATAGCACTCTCTTTACATTTGAGAAACGTTTGGCTATCGGAAAATAAAAACTTTAAATGTCAAATACTTATAGGAAGAAAATAAAGTGAAGTTAAGTTCTTGTCCAGGTCAAAAGTATAATTTCCCTGGGTCTTCGTTTCGACCATTGTTGTAACGAAACGAAAAAACTTAGAATGTAACGCACTGCACCACTACACTCGGCCATTTCGTCCCAAGAGGCCATTGAGGCAGGACAGTACGTCGTTGATCAGTTTCGCGACAAATCACATAAATAGGTCCCTCCTTGGGTTTTTGTTTACTAAAAAGTCAATTTCTTTGGACGGTTTTTTGCAACTAAACAATGGATTAATTTTATTGTTTATTTACACAAATGTAGTGTCTGTAGGGGTAAACCCATGATTTAAATAGTAAATGCATAGGGTAAATAGGTTTTTGTCTGTGGTGTCTTTTAGGCATAAATCTAATTTCTTTGGTCCTAATTTCCTTGTTTTCCGTGGCATAAAATGACCTAGGAAATTATAAAAGACCATTAATAATTCGGCGTAAAGTCAAATTTTGAGTATTTCTTTATTGGAATAAGTTTAAAATTTACATTTTAAGAAATAGGTATCAGAATAGATATAGAAAAACTTGTGTTTAACTTTTAACTCAATCTACTGCATTTATCTTCCTTAGTTGTGTAAAAAGGTCGTAATGATATAATATTCATTGGCATGTTTGCTTGCGAAAGTACACAAAAATAGCTCGAACAAAAAAAAAGCAAACCACAGAAGAAAACTTAGAGAAAAAAATATTTATAATAATTTCCTTGGCTACCAAAAATTTATGACCTCATAACTTTGTTTCTAAAACGAATTATGACACCCCTTCTAGATATATTAGCTTAGTTTTTACTACTTAATGCAATGGGAAACTAAAAATAGTTAAAAACAAAAATAAAATTCGTGCCAAGGAAATTAGGCAAAATTGACCATTTTTGGCGAAATACCCATGTGTATAAAAATATATAATAAACTACCAGACGATTTTAAAGAACTAAAATTCTCAAAATTTAGAAATGTTATTAAAGAATGGTTAACTAAAAAATGTTTTTATAGTGTACAAGAATACTTAGATTATAAATAAATATGTTTAGATATGAAAATTAAAAATGTGTATACGCCTGAAAGGGTAGGATCAAGTGATACTCTGTAATTAATTTAAGATCTTTCTGTAACCTTGTTTCTATACACAATAAAGAACTTACTTACTTATTTACTTACTTACTTACTATCATCAAAGTAATTTACAGAAAAATTACATTTTCGTGGGTTCGATTCCCGCCTTAGGCAGTTCGATTTTTTCAAGTTATTTATAATTTTCAAATTAAAACTATGTTGATTTTATTTTAACAGAAACTATTTTAACGATTCGTTAATTAGTTGATAGAAACGATTAGATTGAAATTGAATGTCTTTTTATTTAAGAATAGCATACTAAACAAATCACACATTTTTTAGTCTCCTAAATCTTACTTTGTTACATTGCCATTACGTATTTCGATTATTACCAAACTGATAGTAAACCTTCATTGTCGTCTATTAAGATTGATCGATAAAACCAACTGAACTTTCAATTAACTAATTCATTTTGTAAAAGGAGGTAGGCCGATTATGTCAAGGATTTCCCGAGTTTTCTGATGCAATAACAAGTACGTTTCCACTAACATGAGTTTTGTTTTATATTAGCGAAAGGTATATTTGTATTGGTGATTTCATTTTCGAATCTCATTCTAGAAGCAATGATTAGTCATATTTGATCACAACATTGTTTTTTATTGGTTAATAGATATTTTTGGCCGCACCTCTATGATAAATTAATGTCAAAAATCATGTTCCTTTATTTGTTTACTTTGACACTATGCATTAATTTAGTTCGGAATTTCATTTAATTTATCGATCAAGTTTGTAAATATCTAAATGGAACATTCCATTGCACAAATTTTTCTGATTTGTATTGCATCAATTTTGTTTGAGTATTTTTATTAAAAGCAAATAAAATAGGATTCTTATTAGAATCATTTTAATCAAGGAAACAAGAATATTAAAACATGGTCCGTATCTGAAGAGGAGAAACGTCTTCATCGTGTTTGTATCGATCTGAAAACGGTTTGTTTTTCATGAAGATTCTTCGTATTTCCTTCTTATATTTTGTCATATTCCCTGTATCTTCGCTCTAATATTGCTAACTTTATTGAACAGCGTGACCTGTTATTTAATTTTGATCTACAAGATCTTGATTGGAAGGCAGGTATCAAACAGCTGTTGATAAAACGTCAATATTGAATACGCCTCTTCGTGCGAAGTATGCCATAACTTTGTTAAAATTTGTTTCTCAGTAAAAAAACTCAGTAAAACTCAAAACTCAGTAAAACTCATTTATTTCTGTAAATAGGCTTAAAAAAATCACTTTTACACGGTACGTATTTTAGTAAATGAGCCAATCTGTGTAACTAAGTTGTGTTTTGTGTATTTATTACTTAGGGATGGGGTCCGAACAGTCGTCGGTGCCTCAAAAGAAGCAGACACAGCGGGCCCCGCCTGTGCGGAGAGGGCACACCATTGCAGTCTCTAATGTTCCCGGTGAGGTTTATTCATCATCATCATTTCAGCCACAGGACGTCTGTAATGATCCAAATTGGCTGGTTGGTAGCAACCTGTACCCAGTGCTTTCTTGTTACCTATATGAGGTTGTCTGTCCACCACTAGATATAGAATACCTACTTTAGATCATAACAACCTGACGTTAAAATTCTTAAAGCCCGGTCCGTGAGCACGTAGAATTTTGTCCAATGACCCCAAGCTACCTATCCTTATCGCTCGCGCGTAATTATATTGCTGTCGCGATTGTGCGACTGGGCAGTGAGTGTGCGAGCGCGATAGCAACATAATTACGCGCGAGCGATAAGGATGGGTAGCTTGGGGTCATTGGACAAAATTCTACGTGCTCACGGACCAGACTATAGTTACAAACTTTTATAGTATTGCTCATCTCTTCCACCATATTGTAAGTTGTTACACAAATTCATAGCAACCAGTTTTGCATAATACTCTCATTTCTAGTTCACAAACAATACCTACTGAGGGCAACCGAGACACTGGACTCCACCCTATACATGTCAAGGAACAGTGCAAGCGGATTATTGTAATTCCTTGCAGATTCAAAATCAAAATTATATTTATTTGTATAGATTAATTAAATTAGTACTTACAAATCTTCAAATTCTCTTAAGGAGCCTATACATGTCTCGTTCTTTTTTTGCCCTACCAGCGCTTCGAGACAATAATTTAGCAAGTGCTGAGAAGAAGCGCCGCAACAAACTCAGTCACCATTGCCGGTTTTAAAATATAAAATAATGTAGTCGGAAGTTACAATACATCCAGAAGCAAGAATTATCGCTAGGACCTTTGATAAAGAAGAAAAAACTTATTTTTGTGACAAATTATTACAGAAGCCAGACGCAGCAATGAGCCAACAGCCAGCGGTAACAACTCACCAGGAGCCAGCGTGTGCTCCGACTCGGAGTTGCCATACATATCGTACACGGTGGACAGGCCTATAGGAGGTGAGGCTTATGTTCAAGAACCAATTGATCAAGAGATTATAAACACATTCAAAGTCCACACACAGGACAATAAAAAACATAACTCTCCATCTGAAACAGTTGGGTAACAATGAGTGTGTACATACTATCGGCAATAGTGTTAACTGCCCACTGCCGATCATGTTGTCCGTTCTATCTCAAAGAATCACCATTTGTTGAGAGAGAGAGCAAAAATGGAAATGGATAGTTAACACTGTGGTCGTGTGTACAACGGTTTGGTTATCAATAATAAATTAGTAGATGAGTGCTATCCATTGACTGAAACCTTTATTTGTGCTGATTGAATAAGCAAATCTGAACTCAAAAATCACTCATTTTATGGATCATACTAATTTTCCACACTTGCTATATGATTACCACCATATTTTAATTTTCTACTCAGATTCCCCCAAGACATCCACCAAGAGCCGCGAAGTGCGAAAGCAGACGGCGCCGCGTCGCGCGCTAAGTCTACAAGCGCAAAGGAACAAGCGAGCACGCGATATAGTGGTCGTAGCGCGAGCGGGCGGTGCGAAGCAGGACGAAGATACTGCTAGATTACAAGTTAGTTTGCGGATAAATACATAGATGGCAGTGCCGGATTAAGCCAGCGCGGGGCCTGTAGCAAACTATCAAGGGGCCCTTGGTTTGCTTTAGGTTCTCAAGTATAGGGTACTAGCGGCCGCCCGCGACTTCGTACGCGTGAATCCCGTTTTTCCCGCTAATTCCCGTTCCCGTGGGAATTTCGGGAAATCCTTTCTTAGTGCACCTCTACGGTACCTAAGCTACGTCCCTTCCAAATTTCAAGTGCCTACGTTTAGCCGTTTAGGCTGTGCGTTGATCTGTCAGTCAGTCAGTCAGTTTCTCCTTTTATATATTTAGATTAAATGAAACAAAACTGTTACAAATGAACTTTTCTTGATTTAATGTGGGCAAATTTAGAGATAACACATTCAATATCAACTTCTTTAAGCAAATCATGCTCTACGAATATATTCAACAAAGTAAGATGATTAAGACGTTCTTGTCCCATCGTGTTCCTTAATTAATTTTTAATACGTTTTAATGTCGAAAAAGAACGATTGCCACTGCAGTTAGTGATCATGAGAGACATGTAAATGCGCAAGGCAATTTCTAAGTTTGGAAAACACGATTCGAAAGAATTATTAAAAGTTTATAAAATTGCTGCTCCAGAGGCTCCTGTTTCTTGCTGTCAATAAGAGTAGCCACATCTGTTTTAAGATCAAGTAAGTCAAGAAATCTGTTTTCAGAAGCTCTGCAAACTGCACTAATTCGCCACCTAGGCTGTTCTCCAAATCAATTAACATACTGACAGTAGTTTCACAGTTCATTTATGAAAACCTTTTATATTATGTTCGCAAAAATATAGAGCAATTCACGAAAAAGAGCGATTTGCATAACTTTAATACAAGAAACAAAAATAAACTTGCCGTTCAAAATTTCTAGGCCATTAAAATTAGATTTTGAATCGGAAATAATTCCTACAAAAGATTTTATTGCTTTAATGGCTTCATTGGTTGCCCATTAAGACTCTACTAGGTTTTCGACTTCGACGGAGTTGTGCTTAAGTGGTGGGGGCCTCCGAAAGGGGCGTTTTTTNAGGGGGTTCGATTGGAGCATTCAAAGCAAGAAGTACTAACTTTAAGGTGTTATAATGTTGGAAATGTATAAATTAGTATCTTGAATAAATAAGTAATTGATCTAAAAGTAATTTTTCCTCATACGAGCATTAATTGAAAATGTCGGGCGGTGTTCATTTTCCACTAATTAATCGCTGTGATGACATCACTCCCCCATGCATTGATACCTAGCTGTCGGAACGGCTAGATTCGTCGGCGCATTTACGTTGTCATTGGTTTTTTATTCAGTAGTAGGTAATTTAAGATATTATGAAGACTTGAAACTTGGGCGCTCTTAATGGTGTTCATCTCATAATCCGGCTGAAAGTGAGAGCGAGTTTCATCCGGAATCCTCAACAATTTTGAGGAACTGAATTTTACCTCAATGCTACTTGCTAACATTGTATGTAGGTACTTATGTATGTTAATAACTTGTTTGTAATTGAATGTAATTATCATGGGATACCTTTACAAATGGATGCATTTACGAAGACATTTAAAATTATTATTCATGAAAGCTTTAAGCTCTGAGGTTCAGTTAAATCAATCTTAACCATGTTTTGAATAAATCCTACTAACACCGCTTACGCAAAAAGAATGTAATGCAGAGAACCAAAAGTTTCAAGTGGAAAAAGTACCTACTGTCGAAACAGTGTGTTTCCATGCAAGTTTTCTCATAACGTAAGTGGTGTTTTAGCTCAGGGAGGTTTTATACGTAAGCCCATTTTTTTGTGGAACTTTTGGGGACGCGGTGTAGAATTTATGACACGTTTTTTCAGTACTAATTACGTAATGCAAATTATAACAAGGACATGTAGGTAGGTAGTTATAGTTATGAAATATCTTAATGATAATAAAATATAGGTGAGATTCTAACCTTGTAATTTTTTATAATCATTACTTCAGTAATGGCCATTCATGGCCCTTTTTCAAGTTTTTTTAATGCTTAACAAGGCAGGTATTTGACCGCAATCGTACCTCGGTCATTCTCCGGATCTGGATTATTTTGTTGATTACCCCGACCTTTTTTATTTTTGAATTTAGAGTAATTTTAGGTAAAACATTTCAAAATAGACATTATTACGAGCATATTTTTTATATTGGCCCATCTGTAGCAAGCAGGAATAAAAAGTTATGCGACATCAAAATTTTCATGGTCGGGGTAATCAAAGTTGGGAGTCAGAGTAATCAAAAATAAAACAAAATATTTTATTTTCTAAGGTTTTTTTTAAGTTATGGTAAAATAAATGTTATTATAACTAGCCATTTGTTATTTTAATGTATAAACGACAATATTGTAAAGTTTCAACAAAATCTGTTAAGTAGTTGTTGCGTAAAAGAGTAAAAAACATACATATACATTATACATATAATATTAGTGACTCAATGTCCTATGTCTCCTATATGGGACAGAAGGCGTCCACAACAGTCCTCCATCGCATTCGGTCTTGAGCTTCGTGTTTGATCTCGCTCCAAGTCTTAACAGTGCGCCGCTATGTTTTTTTGGCGCGACCACGTTTGCATTTTCCCTGGGGGTTCCAATCTAGAGCCTGCTTGGGGATGTGATCGGGGTCCCTTCGGAGAGTGTGGCCGATCCAGTTTCACTTGCAGCGTTTATTCTGCTGAAAGATCGGTATTTCGTGGCAGCGTTCCAAAAGTTCGTCGTTTGAAGATTTTGGAGAATTCGGCGAAGACAGCGGCTGAAGAAGATCTGCAGCTGGTGCGAGATAACCTTAGTGACCTTCCACGTTTCACGCCCATAGAGCAGAACTGGTTTGACGTTGGACCCGAATATTTTGATCTTGCTTGGGTCAATTTCCGTGACTGCCATACGGCTCGAAGTTGTGCGAAGGTAGCTCTGGCCTTGGCAATGCGCGAAGTGATGTCCTCTTCGGTACCTCCAGGCTCTGAAACGATGCTCCCGAGGTAAGTGAAATTGTGGACTCGTTGGACATCCTCTGCACCAACGGTGTGCAATTCCTCACTCCAGATCGCATCTCTTGGGTCTTCCGGTACTGATACCCTTGCTTTACCCTTTTTTCGGCACAATAATTAGAAGCCCCTTATGCCAGTCGTCTGGGAGTTCCTCTTCCATCCAGATGTTTTCGAAGACAGGTGTCAGGACGTTAACGGCGGAGTTTACATCGGCTTACAGCATTTCAGCGGTGATAAGGTCGAGTCCAGGGGTCTTGCCAATTTTGAGGGATAATATTATGTATTAATAGGAGATAGGATTTCATTTTAGTAAAGGGTAATTTTGCTTATTAAACGTTATTTAGTTAATCATTCATTAGTAAAATTACAGTATTATTGATTACTCGGTGACAAAAGTCGGGGTAATCAAGGTCGGGGTAGTCAAAAAATTAAGGTTTATCCTGAGCCCTGCCCAATCTGTAAGTTGAATCCCATATGTTTTAATACACAAAAATGCGGTTACATGGACCATTATTCCTGTACATTCTCAAGAACTTTCCATGTAAAGAAACCTAAAAAAACAGGATAGAGTAAATCAATCGTGCACTGAACCAAGGTCGGGGTAATCATATTCTTATCTCGATAACTCCGAAATCCTGCGACGAGTTGCATTACCGATCACCTCGGCACGCAGGCCACCACTAAAGGTTCACGGGGGAGGATAGAGCTCGTTTCTAAATTGCGTAGCTAGGGACGTAGGCGCACATTAGTGACGTGTCGGGGTAATCACGGTTAACGCCCGGACACAACTTCAAATAGTTATTTTACAAAACCTTTTAGTCATATAGTTATATCGTATTTAATTTATCAATGTTTATTTAATCAGTAATCGATTACATAAGCATTGAAAGCGGTAATAATAACGGATTAATTTATACGAGCAAATTTGTTCTGAAATCGGGAGCGCGGACACGTCGTGGTAATCAATTTTTGACGACTTACGATTTTTTTTAAATTACTTAATTAACTATTATTAACTATCTCTCTGGTTTAACAACAAGAACCAAAGTTATACTATTAGATAAAAATATTTGTTACTAAAATATTATGACATTCGGGTACTTTTTGGCCCCGGACACGTGATTTTCTTGGCCGGTGGAATGACCCACCTGGTGTTAAAATATTAATTTATTAAATGTAAAGACACTTTCTTGTATTTAAGAAAAGGCAGTTTCAAATATTGGAACCGAACTTTCGATGGGCTTATAAATTGAGTTGTTTTTCTACCTTTCAAATAATGCCAGAATTATCAGTACTCATATTTCAGTCTCTATTTAAGTCGTATTTATCATCATGTATTATGTAGTCGCGAAATTCCACAAGTGTGGTCTTCACAAAACTTAGTCCAAACAAGAATGGAATTGTTTTTTCCCAGTCTGGCAGAGTCGCAAGACTAGCCGGAGCATCTGGCTCGCATTAGTATGTTGATGAGGCAATCCCGATCAGCCGCCGGGATAACGTGATTTATATTGACTGTAGGGCTGTCTGTCTGTGTATTCTCTTATTTGCTGACAAAAGTGATATCTTAAGGTCCGCTTTTAACTGGTATTAAACTAAGGAATTTAATTAAACGATAGATAACTTACTAATAATATCCTTTTACTGCAACTTAGGGAGGCATTTGTCCAGCAGTGGACGTCTTTCGACTGAAACGAACGAACGAACTGCAACGAGTAGTGTGAATTAGTTAATTATTTAAGCTTTTATGGAGGAAATTATTTTTCAAAAGCTTCGAAAACAAATGTTAACTTCATTTATTACAGTAATTTAAGCTTTTGGATTTTTCAGAAAAGTGCTAACTACTGAATTGCACTTGCAATTGGGGCTAGTGGATTACTCCAATTTACTTATTGCAATACGGAGTTTAAGTTAGTGCCTTTTTCCTGTGTTGCGGATTTCAGCGCTTAAGCGGATCTGATCCACATACTTATACGTATCACAGAAGAAAGCGTTGTCATTAATTTATTAAAATCTTACATTATTTACTATCTAGGTTATGTACCTACCTATAATTTTAACGGTTTTTGTAGTATCTTCTATTTAGTTAAGACATTGAACTGATAAGTGTCAACCCTGACCGCATACTCGAAGAATAAATGAGGGTCGCGCTCGTGTGTCAAATTTTTCGCGTATTTTCCTTGGATTGGCTGTCGGCAGCGGTGACCACGCGTAATTGATAGGACAGATGATATTAATGTCCCGCCCCCATGCAACGTGTGTGCACAATTTATGTTGCAATACCGCATTCGCCACCCCATGAGCGTACTCATGCTGGGTTTTAACTATAATGTTAACACTTAAATTTTAGGCGGAAAATATCACTGGTAGAGGCAACTCTTTTATGAGGTAGGTACTAGTTATAAAGACAAAATTAAATATTTTACTTACAATGCAAATTTTATTAGTAAAGAAAGGCTCTACCTACATTGAACAGATATTCTATGCGCTATGCGATAGGACGTCGATGTTTATTTTTAACCAAATATTCAATCAAAAGATACCACACTTTTTACAACTTTATTATGATGCCACTTTTATAAAAGTCCACATAAACGATTATTTCTAGTTTACTTACGCAAAGGTAGAGTCATTCCTACATTACATTATCTATAGTAAAAAAAACATTTCAATTTAGTTAATTGCCCCCTAATACTGCACTTTTATCGATACAATAAAATATTATTCACAGAGGTAGTATTATTCATTCAAATGTTGTATCAAATCCGTTTTATTCGCACAGCGACATCTCTGAGCAGCTGTAGCAACTTTAACTTAAACAAAAAGAGCCATCTAGCGGAATTTTCCGGAAAGATAGGCTTTAGGCACAGGCTCTACATTTAACAATGTTTTTGACGAAAAGTCTCATAGATGGCGCTTGTATCATTTTAAGAATAAAAACCACCTAAAATTCTAAATAATAAGTTGTACTATGTAAATTAAATAATTTAACCTTGATAATCCGATCGACTCGGATCTAACAAAAAATACTGACTATTTAGATGTTCGAGAAGATTTTTCTTAATAGTGTACCTTTTTTTACCTGTGTTAAGATTCCTTCACTTTCCTTATTTGCCAGAATTTTTCTCGGAAGTTCTGGTAAGAAAAATAAGCAATGAAACATTTAATTATAGAGTAGTATTTAACACAAATACAATGCGCCTTACACCCGTATTCACAAACGATGCCGCGACCAAGCCGCCACAGAGCTCTGTGATTGTTTCAGGTGTCACCCTGTGCGTCCACGCGCACTGCGCTGTGAGACCTCATAGTAATGTTTGTGAATACGGGCGTTAATGTATTTGTCGATATTGTATGTGTTATTTAAAACGTCTGCTTTGATTTATATATTCAAAAAGCTGTATCCGCGACTTCGTAGTGAAAAGTGCTTGAAATTTTTTCCTGTCTTCCCAACATTTTTCATTGATTCTCTGCTCCTACTGGTCGCAGCCGTGGTGACATATAGCCTTCCTCGATAAATGGGCTATCCAACACAAAAAAAACCTTACATATTAGCGCGTTCAAATAAACCAACTCTTCAGCTTTATAATATCACTAGTAAGTAAGCATACCTACTTATATGTATTGCATATTCAACTAAATTCAAATAAAGATAGAACTTTAACTGTCTCCACTGAAGGAAATACCTAAAATTCGTGTGAAAATTACATTTAAAATTATTCCCTGAGTCTGCAAGAACAAAGATACTACAGTTTTGTAGAAATCCGTTGAATATTCATTAAAGTGAAGTTCCCGGTTTGCGTCGCACAAGATACTACCAACCGCATATATTTTATACAAGTGAGGTACTTGCTATGTTATGTACATACAATCCATCAGTTTATTATACGAGTATAACGCATGAGATTGTAAACTAACAGTGGGTTAAGTTAGGTCTTGAGTATGCAGTTTCATGCATTTTCCAGTCGAAAAAAAAAAGTTTACGTCAGTTATTTTTTTCTTTTTAATGTCGCGCACCTTATGTTAATTGAGATGCAGTCTAGGGAACATCCTTATAAGGCATGAGCACTTTCAGGGCAGATATGTACCAACTACCAACAAATCTGCCCTGAAAGTGCCTTGCCAGACGGAATTCACAATTTTGCGGTGACATACAAACTGTACAAACTAACCACTGCGGTATCATAGTGCACTTCGGTATCATAGTGCACTGCGGTATCATAGTGTAGTTGCAGTTTTAAACAAATTGCTTTTCTGATGTGCTGTTGACTGTAATAATACCACCTTTTTACTAATTATTATGATTCCTGCGAAATAATTATGAGTAATTACTATAATATTTAGGTGATCTTATAAACAACAAGTTAATGGCTTTTAAATTACAAATTAGTCAATACTTAGGAAGAGCATAGATAGGTAGGTAATTAATAAAATAACTAAGAGATAAAAGAAATTTTACCCTTATGGCTTGTTCGCACGGAGACACCCCGTTTGCAGTGTCCTACAAAAAACCAATTCATTCGAATTTCAAACTCACATACTATACATAATGTGTTCACATGACAGTCTCCAGTTTCTGACAGATCGTGCTTTACTGGCCCTTACACAAAACTATGTTTGTTTGTTAACTTCATTTCACCTTCATAATATCCTCAAAGACATCTTTAAATATCGTGTTATTCTTTACAATTCCGAATTCCTTTTCCATGCCGTTCACACATTTCTAAACAAGTTATCGCCTAACACTAGTACGATATTTACGATGGGGCTCAATACCGTGCCTTGAGGAGACCCTGTGGAGCGCGCCGCAAAGTGGATTCTTTGTATGGCAGATGGCTCATCTAGATAAGAGGTTAACGCTTTCATGGGAAGTGCCCGACACATACCCCATACAAGTCCTCGCAGACACCCTTAGAAACCGATTTTACGGTGCGTCCTGAAGGAATAATCATTTCCCAAAACCTTCCATATTGGGAGTCATTTCAAAGACTGCTATCTAAAAGTCGATTTACTACAAAATAAGTGATGACGTCTAAGTTCTAATATAACTTTGGCAGATCATAAAAATATGTCAAATGACACAATATTTGCATAATCTTATTTACGATCGATTTCAATAAGATTTTGTGCCCATCAAGTTTTACACTGTGACATTTTGGTATTTAAATAAGAGAGATTTTGCATTAAAACAATTATTCAAAATCTTTATTGCACATACAAAAAATGCGGTACAAAAGTGGCAGTCAGTTGTTTATAATTGCAACTTTTACAAAACAACACAAAGGCTTTGTAAAAATTTTAGAGCTTTGTGACAAAGCTCTAAAAGTTTTGCATAAAACCGGTAAAAATGAGATTACCTAATGAGTTTAATAAACGCTTAAGCCAAAGCTTTAAGTGATTAACGCCCGTATTCACAAACATTACTATGAGGTCTCACAGTGCGCGTGGACGCACAGGGTGCCACACTAACCAATCACAGAGCTCTATTCAACGCTGTGCGTTCAATTTTATGCTTTACTTAAGCAAGCATCGTTTGTGAATACGGGTGGAAGAGTGGATTCGTCCAAACAAGAGTAAATATTAATCTCAGAATAAATCGTCAGTCCTTCGGACATTTTGACATATTTCCCATACTGAAACTGTCAATGTGCCAGTTACACCAGGAGTTATTCTCGGATAAAAGTTTGGTGGAATCGGGCCTAATAAGTTAAACGTGTACTGTAAAGCTAAGCTTAGATTCTCATTGATTGCTACACTCTACTCGTAAGATGCAAATGTTCACGTAACAAACAAGTTTCCTTACAAAGGGAACATGTCAATGAAAGCTTCATTATTAGAATACTAAAATAGCACAGATAGGTATTGAATTCGTCCTTTTACAGTGTTTTTCGTATAAGGTGTCAAATGTGATAGCGATTAAAATTATTAGATTTCTGCAAAACAAGTATATTTTTAAGACCGACTCTTGGTAGAGCTAGAGCTCATAATAAACCTAAACTTGCTAATCACGCTTAGAAAATAACAAAAATTAACAAATATTTTGAAAAATACTGATGCTGTTATAAAACGCCTTATTCTTTTTGCTCTACCGTTGTTATTTTTAGAAATGTCGAAAACGCCGTACTACGTTTCTATACCACAGATAAAGTTGGTTAAAAATAAGTAAGAATTACAGTCATTTACAGTTGACAGCACATCACAATATTCATTTTTGTTGCAAAATAGCGCCATTACAACTGCATTAAAGGTCCCGAAATTTATCTTGATTGTCCGTCTAAAGAGCACCCACCTGCTGCTCCTGACAAAGACACTAGGCACTCTTTCTGTTTGATAAAATTAAATAAGATTACAAATATATTATAGGTAATTCTAATAATAAGGTGAATTTGATTTAAAAATACTAGAAATGTAGAGTCATGATCTAAACTTGTGGTGATATTATTGTTATGCGTGCTAAGCGCTACTTTACTACGCAGGCCAGGACCATAATTTATGCGGAATTACAGCTTTCTTGTCTTATCATAAATAAATTATTTACCGTCAAAGACAATCAATGAGCTAATATACAAGGTAAATATGAACTTAGATTCACATTGCTATTCAAATGTAGTTAAGTTAGTAAAGTTTAATTCCTATCTGGGGCAGTCGATTTTTTCGAAGTCATTTCTCAAACTCCTCCTAAGTTCTTCTGATTAATTTCCTTGCGGGTTCAATGACAGTTTAACTTTCCCCCGACAAACTTGACATTCACTGGTTGGGTTTTATGACGGTCAAGCTGTAGATCCAGGCTACACAGGAGTTGCAGCGGTGGGAACTTGAGGTGAGAATAGTCCCGATCTTAAATGGGTACTTAATTTTCGGTTTTACTAACCTGTGAACCAGAAGCAAACTCGTCAGCCGGCGGCTCTCTGGTGAACCTCTCGAACTTGAAGCTGTTTGAGCGATAGAGCTCGTTGTCTTCTCTCGAACGTCTCCCCCGGCAGAAACGACGAGTTATTGACGTGTGCCTGCGCAACAAACATCTATACTAATACTTTTAATATTATAAATGCGAAAGTAACTCTGTCTGTCTGTCTGTCTCGCTTTCACGCCTAAACCACAGAACCGATTTTGATGAAATTTGGCATAGAGATAGTTTGAGTCCCGGGAAAGGATATAGGATAGTTTTTATCACGGTTTTTGAAAAAGGGACGCGCGCGATAAAGTTTTTCTGTGACAGAAAAAATTCCACGTGGGCGAAGCTGCGGTCGGAAAGCTAGTGTGAATTATGTATGAAAACTGAAATTGTAAACTCCGTCAGTTTATAATATAACGCGTGAAATTGTATTAAACTAACTGATGGTTAGGTTAGATTGTAATCTGGGAGAGACTATGGTAGTCGAAGGCTTTGTCCTGGTTCCCATGGTTCTTCCTAAGGACGATCGACGGAGCACGGTATGCCTCATCCTTCTGATGAAAGGAGCCCCACAGAACCTACCCTATCCCCGCAGCGTAAGTATGCAATTTCTTGCATTTTTTTCCCCCGAGATGAAAAAAAAGTTATTTTGTAATATACCTAACTAAGTACGTCAGATTATAATCTCACAAAATTTACTATTTTACGGTGACATATATAGTCCAGTCAATAAAGCATTATAGATGGAAAACTGTAGAACACAATTTCTGACTTCAGGACTTTATTTAGACTAGTTAGGAGGTGAACATAGCAAAAGTCCCCGCCCTTAGCCCTTGAGCCGGCGGGGAGAGGGGGGTTTAAAGGTGCCACTTTTCGGTTTTTCGCTTAATCCTCGGAAACTATGCGTCCTAGCATATTCAATTTGCTACAGATGAGATAGACTAGTTTTTCTATAAATTGTATAGTTTTCGCGGCATCTGCTCTAGAAGGTCTGTAATATTGGCAATTTTATTTTTGTCTTACATGTTCCTATCAGGAGAAAATCGACTAAATCAACATTGAGCAATCATTCTAGACGTGCGGGAGCATGTTAAGCCTAGTTCCAGCGAGGGGACTGCACCGTGCGTATATTTAGACGAATCACTTTGAGCCACTTTTGAATCCTCATCACTCAAAAACTACTGGGCATTAACACTTCCAATTTGGCTCATGTGTTGAGACTTACAAGATATACATCAGTTTCAAATTTCATAAATATGCCTCAAACAGTTCTTTAGATATTGACGTCCAAAAATCTACATGTCTGACCTATAGACCAAATTCTAACCACTTCCAGATGACCTCGAAGGTTCAAATTTGGCATCCAGAAAGGTAGTTATGTAAATACAAAGGAACAAATAAAAAACCAGTAAATTTTAACATTTCACATGTGATAGATAGATAGTAGTGCTCTAAATATCGATTTTTGAACGTCAATACCTAAATAACCGTTTGAGGTATATTTATGAAATTTGAAGCTGATGTACATCTTGCAAGTCTCAATACATGAGCCAAATTTGAAGTGTTAATGCACAGTAGTTTTTGAATGATGAGGAGTCAAAAGTGACTCTAATTGGTTCATCTAAATATACGCACGGTGCAGTCCTCTCCATGGAACTAGGCTTAACATGCTCCCGCATGTCTATAGTGTTTGCTCAATGTTGATTTAGTCGATTTTCTCCTGAAAGGAACATGTAAGACAACAATAAACATTCCAATTTTACAGACCTTCTAGAGCAGATGCCGCAAAAACTATACAAGATATAGAAAAACTTGACGATCTCATCTGTAGCAAATTAAATAAGCTTTTTTTGGTTCATAGTAGTCATGTCACTAGGACGCATAGTTTCCGAGGATTAAGCGAAAAACCGAAAAGTGGTACCTTTAAACCCCCCTCTCCCCGCCGGCTTAATGGCTAAGGGCGGGGACTTTTGCTATGTTCACCTCCTAACTAGGCTAAATAAAGTCCCGAGGTCAGAAATTGTGTTCCACGGATTTCTCTCTACACCGTCGTTAAGGCATTCATTGACTGGACTAATAAAGCGTCATGACAACAACAAATTAAAATACCTTCAGTGTAGGTAAACTCTATAATAAGGACACATAATATGTGTACATATACATATTATGTATAAGGGACTGGTCGTTTTTCGACGGTATAAAAAGTGGTCGTTAAATGGAGTGACACGGTAAAGCGGATAGAAAACAAGGCAAACCAACAAAGTTAAGAAATATTAACTTAAACTTTCCAACTTCCAATAGTTCGACTTCCGACTGTTAACTTTTAAATTAAAGGCATTTGGTTTATGTGCAACCTACTTAAAGTCTAATTTCAGAAATATAAAAATTAATTCGAATTAAAGGACTCAGATGGAGGAATGTTATTAATTATGATCCTTATTTATAGGTTTATGTTGTTAACTACCCAAATTATCCATATCGAAGACACAGATACGATATTTACTACTCTGTTTACATTATGTAGTACAAAGTAACATGATGTCATCATCATCATCATCATTTCAGCCACATGACGTCCACTGCTGAACATAGGCCTCCCCCAATGACTTCCACATCGCACGGTTGGTAGCGGCCTGCATCCAGCGCCTTCCTGCTACCTTTATCAGGTCGTCGGTCCACCTTGTGGGTAGACGTCCCACGTTGCGTTTTCCGGTACGTGGCCTCCATTCATGATGTAAACAGGGGTAAATACTACGTCTTTACGATCCTAGATTTATTAATGACGCACTTATTCAAATGCTTATTTCATTAGTCAAAGATTTTCAGAACAGTATTATTACGGTATAATTTTAGCTTTCAATTCTATTTATTAGGACAAACAACAAGACAAACAATTTTAAGAAATATCGAGTAGAGTGTGTCGACTTTTAGCGATGTTTGAAGTAAACAAGTTAATTGGAAGGTGAAAAAAGGGTAAGTAGGATGATTAAATAAAATATTATGTACTAGCTTTCCGCCCGTGGCTTCGGCCGCGTGGAATTTTGTCTGTGGTGGTAGAAAAACTTTTTTGCGCGCATCCCTGTTTCAAGAATCGTAATAAAAACTATCCTATGTCCTTTCCCGGGTCTCAAACTATCTCTATGCTACATCAAAAACGGTTCAGTGGTTTAGGCGTGAAAGCGACACAAACAGACAGACAAAGTTACTTTCGAACTGATAAATATTATACAGGGTGTTAGGTAAATGGGTATATAATATGAGCCGACACTAGCCCATGTTAAAATGGTCATATAAATGGTATGGAGAAGTCAGAAATTTGTTATCATCATTTTATTTTTTTAATTTTCATACAAAATAAATTTTATAAAATCCGATTTGTATGAAAATTAAAATAGTTAAAATGAAGATATCAATTTTCTGACTTCACCATACCATTTATATGACCATGTTAACATGGGCTGGTTTCGGCTCATATACCGATTTACCTAACACCCTGTATAGATTTTGAAACATGTAGGCATCACATGGTGATGTAATATCTAATGGATAAATCTATTATTACATCATGCATTTATCAACTTTTATATTTACAGGTGTCTGACTGAATTCGCAAGGAAACCCCATTATTATTGATTTTTTTTATCAAATCAAATCAAATCAGTTTATTTGCGTGAAAAGTGGTCTACAAGTTCTTACAATATTAAGATGTCCGCACAGTCCACCAGAAGCTGGCATGCAAATATTGTTAACATTATATTTATATTATTTATTTCAAGCAATTTATTTACTTTGATAGTTCACATAATATAAGTGTAACTAAATAAATAAAAATAAAATTAGCTTTCTTCTATCGAATTTATAATTTACGACTTCTTACGCATAGAGCTATAATTTTACGGTTTCTCTTCGTAAATCTATTAATCAGTTGATTCAATTATTAACATGTTATTTCGTAGTTTATAATCGCACATTTGCCTCGAATGCACACCAAATATGTTTACATAAGTTGGCCGTATTGTAATCATGTCGTGCAATCTACCGTATTGCGGTATAATGAACTCTACATTTCTTGCAGATGCAGTTATTCGTACTAACCATTTATTATTGCTTACCTGGACTCGCTAGAATGCAAGGGCCATTGTATCCCGAAGATCTTAAGACGCGCTGGTGGTCTACGCTTCTGCTCCGTGCGGGTAGTCTCTTCAACCGGAGGAGTATGGTGTCTCCCCCCAGAAGAAGCACGAGTGCCACTTCGGCGGCGCCGCCTACGTCTCCTCTCAACCAATATAAAGTTATCGCCGTTCCTGATAATATACGAGGACCGGAGAGTAGACTTCTCCTCGCCCTGTCTTTGCCGTATCAAATCAGCTGTTCTCAACGTATGGATGTTCTGATATTCGGCTTCAGGCGGGGCGGCTGGAGTCACTTCTTGGCTTGTGCCGCTTCCATCCCTCTTCTTACGGGAGGAATGGAGGCCCACTCGACGCCAAACCTTTTCCATGAATCCGTATTTGCTGTCATCCCATTATTATTTCAGACCCCGCTGCAACCCGGATACACACGTTGCTGTATATTTACACGCACATGTGTTAATCTAATACACAGTCACTTGCACAAAAACAATTCAATGGTTCAATAAATCCTGTCGACAAAAATGTCTATTGATAGCACTTAAAAAATAATTTCACTAGATAATAATGAGTCACAAGTCCAATCAGCCGTTCTCTGTCATTGTCCGGGACTCCGGGCGTGAACTTTCCGATATTTCCTTTGATGCGGGCGATATCTCACGTCTTAGGCCATGATACACTTTTCACGAACAAACCTGGGGATTTATCATTAATCCCTTGAATTGAGACGTTGTAGGTTAGTAGAATAAGGGGCGATAATAACGTGTTTTTAGACATCACACTTGCAGAGGTCCCGGCCCTTTAACAGGGTGCGGGTAGTCCATACTACGCATGCGCGGTCCCCTCGCCCGTAGCCCCCTCTAGACCGAAACTTAAACATGGCGGACCTCCGACCCCCTTCGCTTTATTGAATATCTAATTTTATCGGCGTGCATTCATTGTTATACATCATTTCTGATGCACAACCGGCCTACTTTCGTTATTATTAAACATTTTTATTAATCAAGTCAATGGAGATGCAATCTCAACCGTATGACTCAGAAGAAAAGGGTTATAGTCAGAAACTCGTGCTGTTTGTAACCGACAGACCAAATTTTTGCATAGCAAACAACTTTTTGACTTTCATTGCAGAGAAAATTAACGAATTGTTATGCTCGTGTTTATGTTTTATGAATGCAAACTTAAATATTTTGTTACTTCTACTAGGCATTTCTACCACATTATACACGTTTATGAAGTAGTGAAGTTTACAATTTGGTTAAATTATAAAATAAATAAATATCCTTGGACATTTTACACTACGCTTCTACTCCCAAACTAAGCAAAGCTTGTACTACGGGTACCTACTAGACAACGGATAATACTTAAACACTTTTTTTTGTAATTACATACCTACATATTATACATAGTAACACCCAGACCCATCACAAAAAATTAAATTCATCATTTCATTATCTGCCCGGCCGGGAATCGAACGCGGGACCTCTCGGCATGGTAGTCCGTTTCGAATCACTACACCAAAGCAAATTGTAATTAAAATGGCTAAGATCATGTTTTGTTCCGAGCGTTGTCCCTTACATGTCCCAAAAAAAATGACCGACATAGCCCACAGAAATGCAAGTGGCAGTGGGCAAGGCACATGATAGCTCGTAGAGCTGATCAGTGGCGGCGTAGCATGGGTTGGTACCCGGGGCGATCACCCTACCTAATATTGTTGCAAGGTAATGATATTTATTAGCTGTTACCTTTATCAAATACTTTTTAAATGCTTGTCTGATAACATTTATCTTTTCCCTGACGGCATTTGTATACAGTGTGTCCGGGCATGTAGTGAACAAACTTTAAGGGCGTAATCTATGGACAATTTTATCGATGAAAATAATTTAAATTTGGGGCCTGACCCATTTCTCGAAAAATTACATCGAGTTAAGTTTTTAATTTTTAGTTTTCACCTCTTCTTTAAAAAACATGTGAAAGCGTGGGTAGCTTAACATTAATAAGCAAATATTTTATATCATGCGATAGCCAATAAAATTATCTATTAGAAGAAGAAAACAGACAAAAGTTTCATACATTTTATGGGAGTAAGAATGGATTTAATTAGAAAAATACATTACTTTTTTCACTTCTTTTTCAGTTATTTTCCAACACAAGAAAAACCAGGTCGTTAAGGTATATTTTATTTGCATTGTATTTTTAGTATTTGAGCTATTCTACAAAACGAATGTAAATTTATTAGTCTACGTCTATTACTTTCGACGTAATTGTTGAACAAAGATACCCCTTCCCAGCGGTTTCCATAGCGCACGCGACATGTGAAAATGCACTGCCTGAAAGAATCACACAACCTATTCCGATTACATACTAGCCGCGTTACCTACCTTTGCTAGAAAATAAATAAGTAGGTTAATTTATTTTCCATTACTAAAAATATTATTGTGAATCCTACCTAATATTAACTACCTAAACCACCTAAACCTGAAGTAATAACATAATAATCTACAATTTCCTACCTTAGAATGAGTAGGTAAGTACGAGTATTAACCAATAATTCAAAAACGTAGTCCAGGTAGAGCACCCGCCCGAATAGCACCTGCACGAACAGCAAATCACTTACCATCAGTATCAGATGGTAATCACTTAGGTACCATCAGCCCCCCTAGACAAAACGCACTTTTTGATCGAATCGAAAATCGAATCCGTCAAAACTCCATACAAAAAAGGGGCTTTTCGACCACTTTGCGACTGGTTTGCGATTATAATTTGCACTTTGTCTAGACCCACAGGTGATCCGTCTGCTCGTTTGCCTCCTGTCACATAAAAAAAACAGCACTGGTTGTTATTATTGTACTTGACAGACAGGAGTCAGGATGAAATGAAAACTTTTACCCCAAAAGTACTAGGGCAACATAATATAACACTTACTTACAGGAGCTGAGCTGTATCAATGGGTTTTTTCGGGACTGCCAGTAAGCCAGTTAACGAACTCTAGCTTGCTTGCTTGTTGACGAATTCATTTTGTAAGTAAGTAACTGGCGATAAGTGTCCATTAACTTGCATGCTCATCAATCGTCGCTTCATCGCTCATTACTTGACTTATGGTCCTATGTCCCCTAGATGGGGCAGAGGGCGTCCACAACAGTCCTCCATCGCGTTCGGTCTTGAGCTATGTGTTTGATCTCGTTCCAAGTCTTGCCGATCTTCTTCGCCTCGTCTGCCACAGTGCGCCGCCAAGTTTGCTTGGGGCGACCACGCTTGCGTTTTCCTTGGGGGTTCCAATCCAGAGCCTGCTTGGGGATGTGATCGGGATCCCTTCGGAGAGTGCGGCCAATCCAGTTCCACTTGCGGCGCTTGATCTGCTGGTCGATCGGAATTTCGTGGCAGCGTTCCAATAGCTCGACGTTGGAGATTTTCTCAGGCCAGTATATGCCGAGAATTCGGCGAAGGCAGCGGTTGACGAAGACCTGCAGCTGGTGCGAGATGACCATGGTGACCTTCCACGTTTCACACCCATAGAGCAGCACGGATTTAACGTTGGACCCGAAAATGTTGATCTTGACCCTTCGGGTCAGTTTCCGTGACTGCCATACGGGGCGAAGTTGTGCGAAGGTGGCTCTAGCCTTGGCAATGCGCGAAGTGATGTCCTCTTCGGTACCTCCAGTCTCTGACACGACGCTCCCGAGGTAGGTAAAATTGTGGACACGTTCCACATCCTCTGCACCAATCCGTAATGGTGTGCAATTCCTCACTCCAGATCGCATCTCTTGAGTCTTCCCCCGTTATGCCCGCCTCTCGATGTAGGTCATCAATTTTGGATTGCATTCGTGATGCGTGTGGCTCAGCAAACAGAGGTCATCGGCATAATCTAAGTCTTCTAAGACTCCGATTATACCCCACTCACACTCATCGCTCATTAGCTCAAGTGTTAGTGTACCAACCAGTTACATGCATGTGTATCGACGCCTTAGCTTTGTTCGGCGTCAAGTCGGCGACATTCTTACGACGAACCGAATTGCCTTACCCGCTAACGCTGGAATTGGCGCCAGTCTCGCGGCGTCGATCGGCGACATCACCGCATCGTTGTGCTTGTTTTATAAAATAATAAAATGGACAACTTATCAACAAATATAGCGCTTGTAAGATCTATTAAAGGATATCCCTGTTTATATGACAACACTATCCCGGCTTATACAAAAAAAGAAATTACAGATAAAGCTTGGATTGAAGTATCAAATGAAACTGGAATATCAGGTGAGGTAGAGACACGCGTGGTTACAATTTTAATGCATCTCAATGTAGAGTCGGTCACTACCTTTATTTATGGTTAAATGCCTAGATGCCTAAAAATTATTAATGCCTTAAATTATATTTAAATAATACTTTTATGGCCTCAATGAAAGTTGTATTATTGCCATTATTGTAATTTCATCACATACAGCCTAGTGACTATACTCTCATCTGTGGTGGTAATAGAGCTTAAGAGAAAAGACTAGTTTCTTCTAGGAATTCATTCATTGTTTGGCGGATGCTCAACCTAACAATAATAAATACTTACATATTTTAAGTAATATTAATTTTAATCCACGAGACGTGTGGTGTGGAATGTATCCAGCTGCAGTTCTTTATATCACCGAAAGATGGCGCTAAGCGTTTTAAATTGGTCATGGATTAGCCGCTGCGAAATCATTAGAATTTAGATGTGGATCAAATTCAGTAATTAATAGATTTCAACTTATACGACTAATTAAGAAATTACACGAAGTAAATCTTATACTTACCACAAGTGAATCCAGTTAATTAAAGCCACAAAAGGATAGATTATTAACTTAACGCTTATTAGATTATTAACTTTAAACAAAGCTACATGGGAAACTAATAGCCTTCATGTTTTTCATGCCTTTTCACAAATATCCAATAAGTAGAGCATTGGATAGATTTCCGGTAAAGCCTTAGCTTACAGAAAGAAAGCTCCTGGACATTCCGAGACTAGGTACTATACTACCTAAGTACCATGTGAAATAATGTGAAGGGCTGTATGAATTATACAAGTTTATTATTACTTATAAGGAGCGTTTTCTGTATCATCATCATCATTTCAGCCATAGGACGTCCACTGCTGAACATAGGCCTCCTCCCCCAATGATTTCCATTTTCCAACTGCAGAAGCCTGCAGTTTTCTAAATAAATAAAAATAAAATTTAAGACACATAAGTCATCTTCAACAATCTTCATTTCTTGGTCTGCATCCAATAAATGAAACAAAGGGTTCAAACAGAGAAATGATGTGTGACTAAATAAGTACTCATAAACTTTTGTAAATCTGTATTAAACTGTTTTGAAGCCACTATAGCCCAATGGTGTTGGTGTAGGGTCCGAGTAACGCGGATTTGAACCCCGCTGCGTCCCTAGACGATTGTGGTGATCCCACTCATAAGTAACACAAGGACCTGGACATTTAGTTTACTACGAGAGGTTAAAGGGACTTCTTAAGACTTTTTTAAAGAAGTTAAAAAAAAAGTTACTTATAGCTTTTTAATCCTGTACACAAGGTTTTTCTTAATTGTTATTATTTTAACTGACCTAGAAAAATTTTAAAGTGATAAGCATAGTACTTATCGATTTTTTTTTCTCATTGATTTCAGCTGGAGAATGCAAAGAGAAATGGAAAAACCTGCGATGGGGATTCATAAGAAGTTTAAGGCCAAATCCAGATGGAACAGTAAAGAAGAGATATTATTTACACGACGACATGGATTTTGTACTTCCTTTCGTGAAGCTACTTCAAAAACATGGTCATAATATTCCCACTCATGACAGTGACATTGAGGACGAAAATATAGAATCAGCTGAAAACGAGGGTATTGAATATGAAGTGTTCGACGAACATAGAGCTAGAGCTAGATTATACGACTCTAAACAAACAACTGAAAAAAACGCACAGCGTAAAAATGGACAGTCGCCACAGTTTTTCGAATACAGGGTACAAGAGCCTCAAAGTAAAAGAGCTAAGATTTATGAATCTGTACCAAATCATACAGAAGAAATAGATTATAGAAAAATGTTTCTGTTTAGTTTATTACCAGAGATAAATGTGCTATCAGAGAGCCAAATGAGAGATTTCAGAAGAAAAGTTTTTATGTTAATCGACGAGATTAAAGTAAGAACACAAAATACTTTAATGTTTGAAACTGAAATTATAAAAACAGAAAGACTTGATTAATAATTTAGTTTTATTTATTGTTTGTCATTTTCAGCAAATAACATAGTATTTTTAAAGCACCAAAAGGTATTACAAATTGAGTGGATACTAATTATATTTTTTGTAGATTTTTCTTAGCAGACTTTTGAATCACAATTAATACTTATTATTGCCATAATTTTTAAAATATGGAAATGATAATCTGACAATAGCCTGGACCTGCACAGAAACATATATTTTATACTTACAAAAAATTTGTGATGCAACGAATACTACTTTTACGAATACGAATATTAAATCAACTATTCGGCGAATACGAATATCTCTACATAGTCATCAAATACTCATAAATTTAACTGTTTTTATTATGGTTAATGTTCTAGTAATTAAAATTTACAAATAGCATTTTTTTTGTTATTGTATCACTTTACTTTGTAACTAATCACAAAACAAAATAATAGGTACTTGTACAATCGACCTGCTATTGACTGTCAAATTCCGGAAGAGAACTTCAATTCAAATTCAAATTCGTTTATTTCTTTAACTTACTTACTACTTTGCTACATACTGACCGGGGTTTTCCCATCATGTCCTTGTGGCTATAGTGTTCGGAGACATAGTCACGTGTGTGACAAAATTTAAAAAAAGTAGCTATTCGTAATTATTATTTTACCGAATACGAATATTCGGTAAATGTCTAATATTCGGCGAATACGAATATTCGTATTCGTATTCGTTGCATCACTACAAAAAATAAATAAAAATTTTAAAACAAGTAAAAGCATGTAAAATAGAAATACAAAACATGTTGAAATGCACTTGTTCATAAAAATTAACCCTAAGGTAACAATGAAGCATAATATACCTCAAACATTTAGGTACATTATTTAATAGGTGCATTCTTCATTGACTTAGTAGTCACTGCATTGCCAGTAACTTTGCTGACCAATTTGTTATTCTGCCAAACAGCGAACAAATTGTCATTAGTTTTCAGGTCAACCTGTAATTTCTCCCAAACCTTCTTTTTTGGGTTTAAAACTTCATCAGGTTCTCCAGATTCATAGCCTTCTACTAATATCCTTTCACCCGGCTTACTGTCTTGAGGAGGCAATAGAGGTTCCACCTGCTTCGGCTCATCTACAGAAGCACAAAGTACCATCCCTTTGGATTCTATGCCACGCATTTTGGCAGGCTTCAAATTGCACAAAACTACTACATCTCTATTTTGCATTTCTTCTATAGGCACGAAGTTTACTAATCCCGAAACAACAGTTCTAGGTTCAGCTTCACCAAGATCAATTTTTTCTACATACAATGCATCTGCATCAGGGTGCCTAGAAACCTCAACTATGCGACCCACTCGTATGTCCAACTTTGAAGGGACAATTTCATCTACTGCTGCAGCTGCATTACCCTTAGTTTTTGTCGGAGGAGGGTAAGCTTTCTTGGTCAATTCCTGCAGTTTGGGTTCTTTAAATATTTCTTGAATGGGAGCCAGAAGCTTATTGATCGCCGCTTCTACTGAAGCCTTTAAATCTCCAGGATGGATGTCTTGTTTTGCAAATGCAGCTTCTAAATCTTCAAAATTATTAAAATTAACATCGCCACCAAACTCAGGAGCACGGGTTATTTTAAAACTCTCTTCAGGCTTCATCAATGGGAAAATAACATGTTTGGTGAAAGAGAGCACTCCATTGTCAGTGATATTTCCAGGTTCGCAAAAAGCTTTTTTTAATTTCTTTTTAACATTAGCAGGGTTGTCTAGCAAGTCAATTTTACTGTCTTCTTCAGAAGCAGACATTTTGCCTCCAGTCAAACCTGGGACCATTGGGTTCATAAGATGAACTCTTTTAGCATAACCAAGCTGGGGAAGGTATTTCTCGGCCATAGTAAATATTTTTCTTTGATCAACACCCCCAAACTGTGCATCTACTTTTAAATATTCTTCATCTAATGCTTGCAGTCCTGGGTACAAAAGGCCACTAAGTAAAGGATGGTCAACTTGCTTCACAACTTCAGCGCCGGCTTTCTTTGCATCATGTTCAGTTATAACAGACGACATTCTGTACACATCCAATGTGTATTCTTTATTTAGCTGATATTCAGTACCTCTAACAAATTTCAACTTATCCAGTGGAACACCAATGGACTGAAGCATAGCTTTAATTGCAGCTTCATAATATTGTGTCCTCAATGCTAGGAGCTCCCAGGGAGCTTTCATATTGTCTAAGTAGGCATGTAGATCAGCAAAAAGGATAGTTACCTCACAACCGGCTTTAAGGAAATCTGCAATCTTGGACATTGGTACAAAATACGCAACGTGAGGTCTCCCAGTTGTTGCTGTACCCCAGTAAATCTTGAGATCTCTTTGCTTTATAATTTCAGTTAATTTCTCATCTCCTAGCACTTCTTGAAGATTGCGAGTTATTAGAGATTTCTTCTCTTCCCAGTTAGCCATTATTACAAGACTATGTCACCTGTAATGCGAAAAATTTTGAATTAATATGATGCAACCTAGCTAAATCTTAAAAGCATTACTTTTATTGATAAATTTATGATAAGAAACTGTGTATTTTTTGTACTTACCGTTTGTAGAAAAGACACTTGTTACTGTATGAAAATTACATCCAGTTTGGCAAATTAAAAAGACCACATAGAATGGAAGGTGTAATGTAAGTTAACACGTAGACCGTGGTGTTAAAATGTGAGTGAAACTTTATCAAAGTATTGCAAGCAAGATAACCTCAAATATTTGCAACACTGAAGTTTCACCTTTCCAGTCGACACTGCGTCAAAAAATCTAATTCCATTTTATTGCGTACTATTTTTACTTTCTGTTTTGTGCTGTATAATATAAATTTCCATTGCCAAATTAGCAAATTAGACGAAAATATTGTAATTTTAGAAATAGCATGAAGTTAGCTGCGATTGAAATTACTTGTTACCAACTGCAAAATGGCGCTAGTGTACCAGTGAATGCTCGCGTTTCCTGTCAAAAGCGCCACTACGCATGACAGTCAGTGCCATAGAGAAAAGTAATACATAGGAAATAGAGAACCCTCTCTGTCAAATTTTTGAGCCTACTAATTGACAGCCTGGTGTTAAATTCGCTGTACTTAACCTACGTACGTAACGCTCACATACACACATAGTACACGCACACATACATACATAAAGTCCACGCACACATACACACAGTTCACGCACACATAGGCCCTCATAACCTTCAAAGAATTATTGTTTTTTTGATGTACAATGTAGAATTTTTTCAAATCCATTATTTTGAAAGTATTTATCTTTATGGTGTACGTATTGTATTATTTTCAAAACAATGGATTTGGAACATTCTACATTGCACATGGAAATGCAAATAAACAAAAACTTTTCAATTTAATAATTTTACTTTATTTATGAACACACATAATATTATACACCAAAAGCGTCTTTTCGCAAAGTTTTCAACAACACTAAAAAAGCATTTGCACTTTGAGAAAACTCAGATCACTTGTTAACATAACAGAAAGTTTCTTCGCGATTCACGAAGGAACGAACAAAACTCCGATGAACCAGAACAGCAGCAGGTACGAAGGAATGAACTTGAATTTGACTCGACTCTTCAATACTTTAATAGGGCCACAGAACTCATAAACGATGGCTAAGAAAACAAGAATGCATTCAACCTAACAAAAACAACACCGGCCATTTTGGAGGAAAAACAAAGTTGCCATAAAAAAAAAAAAAAGTATTGGAATTTATCGACTGAAGTCGCTGTTTGGAAGCAAGTTTGATCGTAGTATGGAAGTTTCCGTACCCTGGTCAGTGCGGCCTTGCAGACTGAAGAGCGCTGCCAACAAAGGCCGAGTCGATGGGTTACAAAAAGATTAATTTGGACTTCTAAAACCCTTTTGTTGTTGTAATTATAATTTTATATAGGTTGTGAATCTGTGATTACGGTTAAGAAAATGTGTGAATGATATGAATCGTGACGGCTAGCAAAGGAGTCAGCTGGTCAACAGTGCGAATAGTGAATAAGAAATGGCGGCCTTGCCAGCAGGTGTTCAGTATGGGTTATCATCAGAGTCTAGTTATAAAGAAAACAAGGAACTAGTGTTTGTGAAATTAACGGATTCAGCGCTGAAAGCTATAGAAGACTTCATTAGGAATAACAGGGTAAGTCAAATCGCCATATTGTTGACCAAAATATAGATAAGCCAACAATGTCAGAGGCGCCATACTTATTACACTAATCGAAATGAAACTGCTAATTTACCTATTTATTTGCTGAGAAACTATCCTTTTGAGTCATTAATTAACTTCTACAGTAATCCTGGTATAAGGCATAGCGAGAACTAAGTTTATACAATGTCACGCCACGTCAACATGCAGGATTTTTGTTCTGTTATTTTCATAGATTTACATTTCATACGGCTTTAATTAGAGAATTCTGCTCATATTGTTTCGGAATTACCGTTTACCGTGGAGTTACGTTACAATCCGTTTATCTTGGGCCCAGAATATCGACAGAGACACCTTGTAATTAATTTATGCTAAACTTTGAAAACACTCAAGACCAACAACTCTCATTCGTATCTGGTTTACCTACTGGAAATATACTGTACAATTTATCTATATAATGGAATCGTTAAATCAATGCATTTTTCGTGGTAATATCTAAAGAAAACCAAAGTTATTCAAGACAGTTCTAGAAAATGCATCATATTATAATACAAGTTGTAGTCTTAATATATTTTCAATAACAGCTGATCAGCATAGAATTTGAGTAGTTTAATAATCTATACATACCTATCTACAAATTTCTTTGGTTATGAGTGAAGAATAAATTACTTAAAATGTTATTTTTACTGCTTTATGATTGCTTCAATAAACTTGAGTTATGAATAATTAAGTATTAGATTATTATTTAAACAACCAAATGAAAAAAAATATAAATAAATCTTATGATCTTTAGTTAGAAGTACATATAAAACTGTTTACTACATTTTGATAGAAGAGATAAGGCTGAAGTTATAAAAGATATCAGAAAGATGGCGCTGCCAGTTTATATGCTTGTGATATTATTAATGATTATATTCTTTTACGATTACAACAAATTATTACTATCTATCTAAAATAATATTTAAGAAATGAAATATATTATTAATTATATCTCTTAAATTTTATAACACATTATTGTTTCCTAACGTAGTATAAATTTTTCAATTTCTACTTCATTGATTTCCTCCAGACTTATCAATCCATAGACTTATCCATTTTTTGTTGTTTATGGTATCCCGACTTGGATACTAAAATTACTGGTTTCATCTACCTATTCGATTCGAGCGATTCTGTTATAATTTATAATTGCATCATTTTATTTATACTTAGCAAAATTGCAAGTAATTTCTTACAATAACAATAACATTAAATTAAATTACATTTTGAGAGGATAAAAAAACATCAACAAGCACTGAAGTTTCCGATGAAGACGTCTTTGGTTTTTCTCTCTACAAATGCCTCTTGGTACTGCACTCTCACCAAAGACCTTAGTAGTTGCTATGCAAAATGTCAAGGATTCCATTCCAGATTTGTGATAATTGATGTCATAAAGTAGGTACTTTGTAAGTTAAAAGTATTTTGGACACTAATGCCACTATCTGTATCTACAAAAAGCACTGTTTGCATTGCCTTGACACAACGTGTGTAAAAAATGGGCAAAATTTTCATCGTCTAAATAAGGAAAATACATCTTTGAAAACATTCTATATTATCATTTTACCTCTGCGGTACAACTAATTCTCTCAGCGGCCAGTTTAGCTACAAAATAGCACAAGTACTTGTGTCGAAAATGATAAACTTTTCCACACCGAGATAAGGTTATTTTCTGTAAAGTTAGTAAATTCTCCTGACTTCAGTTATTTTGGCATATAACAACACCTAAAAATTGTCTCATCACTAAAACAAAAATGTCTTTATTTATATTATTTACCTTTTTATTATTCACTGTTAAAATAGTAAACAAACTTTCAAAGCTTTAAAGAAAAAATTGAATTTAAAGGAACGCCTAGTTTTGCCTTTAGGAGCCTGCATGTCTTTTGCGCTACCAGCGCTTCAATTAAGATTTGTCAAGTGCTGAGAAATAGTGCATCTAACTTAGTCACTGCTTTCTGACAAATTTACATTAACTTGCACTAATAATGCTGCGTGAATTTAGGGGATTATAAAGTTAAAATTTCATAACCTTGATAGCTTACCATAAAATCTCCCTTCATAAAGTCTGTTAATAATTTACCATGTAGGTACAATGTAGCGTTGTAATTAAAATTATAAAGAATTTGTACAATCTCTGCATAAATGTAGGTACATAATTTTAAAAAAATTGACTAAGTGATTTTAGTAGACTATTTTATGAAATAACGTTATTATCAATTTGACCTAAACCAAATTAAAAAAAAAAGTCATTTATAGACTTACATTTTAAGAATCGGTGACTATTAGTCATTTTGAGAATTGATCTTTCTTAGACTAAACCGGGAAATCAAATACTATGGAAGTATCTAAGCATACAATTGTAGATTTCAATAAAAATATACCGTACATACCTACTTATAAAAATGTTAAATTATTTATGAATCCAAATACTAAAAAAATCTATGGCCTTTATTTTCTGCAATTTATCAATTTTTATTAACTATTTATTGAGTAGGTATTTTATTTCCTTGATGTGATAGTTTATCTTCTCTGAGTCACCATTAAAGTGCAGACCCATTTTAAAAAATAATCATTATTAATAAGTACTCCTAAAGCTTAGATGGTCATGATGATAAGTACTCTAATATAAATTAACAGGTATCATACATAATCACATAAATATTTCACCTAAATATGTATAATAAAAACTTATCTTTTAAATACATTTCACCAAATAGTATAAATCTGCTACTAAGATCTTACACATTACCAATGTAGAGTATCTTTCTTATCTTTATGACCATAAATTGTATACTGGTTCATAAAGTTAATATTCCTTCGGAATAGACCAACTACACAGATGAACTGTCAAACGAAACCAATTTTGGATGACACTGTATCATTTTCTGTGTCAGTGTCAGGATTATTCCTGTTTTGCACACAATAAATCAATCACTGAACCAGTCACCACATTTCTTCAGCACTATTTCTCATAAAAGTCCATAATTTCACTCACGTAAAATCTGAAATATCTCTAGAGTTAAAATTTTCAGCATGCCATTAAGTGCTTCCAAACTATCAAATAGTTCCAAAAAACGGTTCTCTTTTTATCACACACTGTTGCTGCTGGTGACGTCTCGCTCGCTCACTTCTTTGTTGCTGGGTCATTCCATCGTTTCGGGTGTTACGTTCGTACACACATATTCAACAATTTCATGTATTTTAAAATAGTATTTTAATAATGTTAGTGCCTTAATCTGTCCGTTTTTAGTTGTTTTATTTAAATAATAAAGTTTGTACAGCTTAGAATTTAGGATAACGAAAATATGAGTCGAAAAGTGTGCGTTTCGGGCGTTACGAGATTTTGCCTCTATGTTCTGACTGTTGCTGCATTTACTCGAAATTTAGCGAATTTTCTTAAGGAATCATACCTAAAACTTACAGGACTTCTAAATTATGAAATTTACAAACCATGTAACATACAATCACTGTTAAATAAAACGTTTTACTATTTTTTTATAAATTTTTTCTTTGTTTCGGGTGTTACAATGGTTCTGTTTCGGGTGTTACGAGTACGAAAATGTTACGCGTTTTATCGATAAAATCGGTGTTTTATTAGTCTCTAGGTACTACAATATAAGGAGTACAACAAATAAACACAAATAGAGCGAATTCTGGTTTGAAATTACGAAGCAGCTTTTTTTTTTAAATATACAAAGTTCAAGTTTAATTTTTCCTCAGAATATAGCTTTTTCTATTGTTT